CAAACAAATCGCTCGACAAAAGCTAGGACAAGTCATTTTGTAAGTATCAACATTGTTTTGGTTTTGTAAAGGCATTCACACATATGCATCGCGCACGCCTGTGCTATTCTCCGCCTTCATCAGTTTTTTTTCATCCGTTTGGCCTCCAGACAAGGAGACAAAGAAACACATGTCTACAAAATGGCTATCGCCGAGAAAAAGGCAGCTAGCCTCCCAATGGACCAAGACCATGGGATGGAAGCCAAGAAAGATTCCGGTACTTCTCCAAAAAGAACACAAAGTCCCGCACATCTGCCACATAATCAGATTCGGGCCCGAAGCACTCTTCACGATACTCAGGCCCGACAGCATTCTCAAGCTCCATGAAGAGGACAAACTTTGAGAAATGTGGACTGCGTCTAATCCCTGAGCACAGGTTGGCTATGTCCTCCTCTGGCATGGATTCAAGCTCTCCTTCCAGCACGCTCGGCTCCGAGTCTGCCATCTTCGCATTGTTCCCTGGGCACGTGTCAATGCCATTCTGTAGCTATTCTGATGCGCTTCAGTTCTGTATCAGAAACAAAACGACATGCCAGCAGCAAAGGGATCTGATCTGGGGCCTTCAGATATTTTTTCTGCGTGGGGCCACTAGCAAATCGAAAGTGGTCAATGCACATCATAAGCTAAGCTGCTGATATTATAAGGCCAAACACCTCTTAGTCATGTTTATCTGAATCACGTCATTTTGTAAGCAACAATCGTGATCTCATCTTGTAAAGAGGCACACGCACAAGTACCTGGCCTGTGTCAGAGTTCTTGTTCTTACTCTTTTTCTTTTTCGGCTTGGTGCTCTTTGGATGGCCTTAAGAGGGAGGGGGGCTACAAACTGGTATGCGCATATGGTACCCAAGTTCGGGCACCAAATCAATGCAAATTGAAGGCTCTTTGGAGTTGCTCATTGCCTAGTATCTTCGAGGGCCAAGCCACCACAACTATGTATAGGAAAGAACGCTTCTACAAAATGGCCACCCACATGCCAACCACTCAACTTCTTAACTTTAGTACTTGTAGCCACCCTTGGCCAATCCTCAAGGTTTGCATCTATGCCAGAAATAAAAAACATATATATACTGTATGCCTACACACTTGACTCCAAAAATGTCTGGGTCTGGCTTAAGTCATTTTGTAAACAATATCAAAATAGATATGCCTTCGGGGTGGCAACGAATCCTGACGCAGCCTCCTTGTAGATACACGCATCATCCTGCTTCCCACTCAGCAAGCCTTCATTTTTGTTGGAACTTGTTGGCTTGGTTTCCTTTGGATGGCCTCAGGACAGGCAGCAGCAGTAAACATGGACGGGGTCAGACAGGAAGGAATATGAAGGAATATTATACAACCTGAAGATCTTCTACAAAATGGCAACCCAAGCACCTAAAACCGCGGTACACCTATGCGACCCTTGCACAAGCAAAGTGTTGAGAAGAATTTCTTGGTGGACACCCCAATTTGATCAGAAAAAAATAATACGATATATATATATAAGGTTGATGGCGAAACTTCTGGGGTTTGACAGTGCTTGCATTGGCTTGCATATGTTTGGATATGTTTGGATGTGTTTCTTTCTTTGAGAAGTCAGATCACAGCATTTTGTACAGAAGAACCGCGACCCCATTGTGTAGGCAAAATGCTTGCGTGCTCCGTGCCTCCATCAGTGCCCTCGTTATTGTCGGGCTCGATGGGATCGGTGTCTTCTGAATGGCCTTCAAAATGAAAGACAATTCATTTTGGAGCTTCATCATAAATAAACAAATTGCTTCTATCAAACCTCGTAGCCTTAGGTCTTGGGGACTGCGTCGAATCTGGAAAGTTTCTACAAAATGACCACCCAAATGCAATCTTCTGAAAAAATGAAAACACATCGAAAAAACTTCTACAAAATGGCAATGGCAAAAAAAGAAGGTAGCTTGCCTTCCAATGGACCAAGACCATGGGATGGAAGCCACGAAAGATTCCGGTACTTCTCCAAAAAAAGCACAAAGTCTTGCACATCTGCCACACAATCAGATTTGGGCCCGAAGCACTCTTCACGATACTCAGGCCCGACAGCATGTTCATGCTCCATGAAGAGGACAAACTTTGAGAAATGTGGACTGCGTCTGATCCCTGTGCACAGGTTGGCTATGTCCTCCTCTGGCATGGATTCAAGCTCTCCTTCCAGCACGCTCGGCTCCGAGTCTGCCATCGCATTGTTCCCTGGGCACGTGTCAATGCCATTCTGTAGCCATTCTGGTGCTCTACAAAAAAACAATCAAAATATATCAAGATGGAATTCGGTGCGGGGCCTTCTCCAAGAAGGTCTTGCCTTTCAGTCGGTATGGGACAACCTGCAAACAAAAAGTGGTCAAGGCAGGGAAGCTGCTCACAGCCGCAAACAATGTTCTGAATTGTTCTAGGCCATTCTGTAGGTCTCACAGAACCATTCTGTAAGCAAGAACAATGACCTCATTTTGTAAAGAACAATAAAATTACAAGCATGCTTCCGGCCTCCATCAGCAGCTTGGTTCACGCTGCGCTTGGTTGGTTCGCCATCCTCCGGAAAGCCTCAATGCTTGAGGGGTTTGAAAACTGGCCCAACAAAGACAGAATATGCATCTGGAAAGTAAAGTACTACAAAATGGCTACCCATCTGCCTGCCTTCGGGTTTAGAGTTCATGATGTTGCTTTCCTGGTCCGGCAGCTCAGAGTGGATCGCCTCTGCAAGGCCTCAGGACTGGAGCAAACTTGAAAAGGTTTGCTATCCTCTCAAATGCCTAGCGCAACCCCTGTGCAAATGGACAACCATATATATACTGTAAGTATATATATATAGGTCAATTTAATCCATATTGTAGCAAAGAAGTACTGTGATCTCATCTTATAGAAAAGAAACGCGCCCATACGGGCACGCACGTATCCTCTTGCCTGGAACAGGTTTCGCGACGTCTGTGAATGCGTCTGCTTCCTCCACTCCGGACTCGCCTGCTGGAAGTGACAGTCTTCGAAGGACAAGGTGTATGAGAATGTGTCTAAAAAAAAGTCCATCCTGCAGGCTTCGGCTCGTCAGCACCTTACGGCAAAATACCCAGACATTGGGAGGGACACCGCGAAACTTCATAAACTTCTTAGGCCTTGATCACGGCTGCCAGGAGCGCAATCTTCAATGCGCTCGCATCCTGCAGCAGCAAGGCTTAGCGCTATATTTTGCAACCGACGCCGGACGTGCCTACAAAATGATGGGCCTGTAATATGTCTAGCTCTGACACCAGCTGTACGCAAAGGCTAAACAAACGAGGTGCCTCCTGCTGCTTCTGTTGTCACAGCAATTCCTCCTAACAAAATGCAGAGAAATGAGTCAAGGGTGAGTAGCCACTATTGAAAACATAACAGCAAATAAGCAATCGATTCTGAAGCCCTGCCACTGCCTTCACCAATGTCGGCGCCCTCGCAGGGCTCCCTTCCTGCAAGCCGCAGCTTCAAGCACTACACATTGCACCCTACATTGCAAACGCCTACAAAGTGACCGACTCAAACCTGTCTATGTACTGTGCATCCTCACAAGTCCGCAAACAGCCCCAAAGAAATCCATAGAATTCATGTCTTAAGCTGACCCTACTAAATGAAAGGAACGCAGGATCTAAAGACTTTCCGGCCTGCGTCCATCAATGGTTGAAATTCTTCAGCAACAGCTGCTGATGTCTCTGCTCCTACAGGCAGTTGCTTCAAGTAGTAGACTTTAAGCTCTACGGTCACGTCTTTAAACAACTACCAGCCCACCTGTCGGCTGTGTCTCCTCAACAGATTCTCCTGTGGAGAATGAATGAGCAACACGCGTCAAAAAGCATCTCCTATGAAAACCTTTGTATATATATATATATATTTTTTTTTGTTTGTATTTGTTTGTGTATTTACTTATTTATTTAAATAAAGCACTACAAAATGAGAGGAACAGGATAGGACACGTAGAATCTAAGCACTGTCAGACCTGCACCCACCAATGGTTGAGCATCTGTAGTACCAGCTGCAGATGGCTTCCCTCCTACAAGGACACACTCGACTCAAACGGAGGCCTCAAAAGCGTTTAGACGATTAACTAGAGGCTTGAATGCAAATGCCTTGCTCTGCTTCTGGCAGAGCTGCCAACTCCACAGCGACCATCAGATCTGAAGGTTCCTCAGCAACTGATGCAATAGAACCCTTGAAATACTAAACTCCTGATTTTTTTTGGCAAAAAGTCTACACAATGGTTGGTCAACGTCAGTGCTTATTCTGAATTGTAACAACTCCGAAAAATCTTCTAAATTGTTTTCTTCGTCTGTCAGCTTGCGATGTCTCCAGAGCATGAAACTGGATGGAGGTGCGCAGGCTATGTCGAATTGAGATAAACTGCATCCCATGCACTGCAGATTCCCGCAGAACAAGCAGCTTAACACCTAATAGGACGCAGGAAGCCAGGATGCCTGTGGCAGGTGCACCAGGCAAACACCTCTACAAAATGGCAAGGCGACTCAAACACCATTTCCAATGTCTTGGCATTGCAACCCTCAGCTTGGAATTTCTAATCACTCTCCAAGTTGATGATTTCACTAGCGGCTGGCTGCAAAATGCATTCGACCCAGCACTTCAGCAATGCGCGACAGAAGTAAGTTGTAAACTCTGCACTCCCTGCCAAATCTTTCCCCCCTTGCCACCCACGAGCTCCAGTAGTGCTGTTGACAACAGCCCGCGTGTACTCCTGCCAAGCAGCAAAGGGCACATTGTAGAAATCAACCTTACAAAATGACACCCACTTGGAATATGTGGGTCTGAAGAAGACGAACATCAAAGATATTTCATAAAGGACATCGGACACCCTTTTTGTAAGAAGCTTCAATTTTAATAAAATGCACTGCGCGCTCCTTCTTGACTCTCCGGCGACTCTGACGGGCCTGGAAACGAGCCTCAGCGGAAAAAAATACTGAGAATCTATTGGATTCTATTGGTATGTTGCTTTATTCAGACAAGCTGATCATTCAAACGTTGACTTGGGAAAAGGCTTTGAAGCTGGAGCGTTTGGCCTTGGTCATGACCCGCTTCAAGCTGCCAGCTGTCCTGAGACAAACGTCCAAAAGGATATCCTTGTGTCCTGATGTCATTGCCTCTACTAAATGGCTGGATTTGGGTTCTGTTTAAAAAAATTGTAAAAGAAGAAGGCTTACCGGTTGGACAGGTCATGTTGTAGCAGTCATAGAAAGTAGAGAAAATGTGTTCCAAAAACATAGCAAGGCAAGATCTCCTTAAGTTGCTCATCAGCTTTGTGGGTTTCAGCATGTCGTGGCCAAAGAAAGCCATCCATGTTGTGGTTGCGAACCTCGGCTGAATATGGCAGGGTAGGAGGGAAATACGGAGCTATACTAGCTATACGGCTATACTATACAAATGACACATTCTTACAAAATGGCTGGGTTTGCTGATTTTTGATGCATTGCTAGCCAAAGAGCAGCGCCATCATGGAGGCTATGTTAACCATGAACGGCTGCTTGAATCCCCAGGACGATGAAGGCTGCTCAACAAGCACAAAGATGCCAGGTCGTGTTTGGTGAAGTAGTTCTAAAAAGCAAGCCTAGGCTGTCTGCACATTTTGTAGCTCAAATGCCGTTTGTGCAAGCATAAGTATTCTGTAGTAAAATGTAATTGCTACAAAATGGTCGAACCGATCAAAACCAAGAGTCAAAGGACTTCCAGATTCTCTGTGAAAGTCTGACCTTGAAGCGCACTTGGTCGCCTTCTGGGTTAGACACGGACCTTTTATGTACTGACTGAGACGCTGAAGACATCAAGCTGCATGGCGGCGCTGCAACTACCAATGCTGTATCTGTCAGTTGGAGGGCAAGATCCAGTAAGTTGTAAAATCCGGAACGCGATGTTACGTCATGAGCAGGAGAAAGTTTGATGTCATAGGAGATTCCCTTGTAGCCTGCTGATGCCCATGTCTGTGCCACCTTTTGGCTTGCACCAAAGAGGTCTAAGACGTGCGTAGTTTTCTCAAATCTTGACTCCGCACCTATCATGTAGTCTACGAGCTCACGCATGGCATGCTCCGGCGCAAACCACCTGAAACATCTCAGAAACAATTGTAAAGTGTAGCAAGTATACAAAACGTGTCCCTACTACAAAATGGCTTGACATTATGTTTATACACTTGTTGGTTTCCAAAACAACCTGAATGTGACATAAATATATATAAAGAAACAAAAAGAAACATAAAGCCTTTGGTGGAGCTAAGGCATTTTGTAGAGGGCTGCCTCTACTCCGTGCCTTTTGTAACACTTTACAGATCATAACAAAATGATATGTTAGGAAGACCTTGCTGGACTGGATCCTTACTAGAGATGTTATTGGCAAGGCGCTGCTCCTCAAGTGTGGTTGACGTTGTGTCATCCTTGATGGAGGGCAATTTCACGCACCATACTGGGAGCAAAGCGAACAGCAAGCTGGCGGGCACGAGCCAAGTTCTCATCTTACCTCCCTCAACGAACGACCAAATCAATCAAAGATATGGACCCGTTCGTCTCTGAGCAGACATGGCTGCGGGTCAATTCTATGTAACACAACCATGCATGAATCCATTTCACTTCAAAGTATCTTTACTCTTCTGCCAAGTTTCATCTACCTTTGCAGGCAATAACGGCTTGTGGTCACTGATCCTGGTGCTGAATTTCCACATAGATAGTTCCCTCGGATTCCAGCCCGCCCTCCTGATTATAACCATGGAAAACCATCATTCCAAAACATTCCGAAACACCAAACTCAGACAAGATTCGTGTCCCAAAAATGGTGATGATAGGATTTACGCCCGCCAGATCCAACCATGTTGCATCGGGAGACTGAGCACGGTGTGAGCCAAAAACGGTCACTGATTGTTCATCCAAATTTACCGTGCTGAAAAATGCTCACACGAAAAGTAATCTCAAAATTGCTGACTTGCCACGGTAGCATCCACGAGCGGCATCCCATGAAGGCGGTGGAACATCTGACACACAACCATTGGCGGTACAAAATTTTGGGCAGCCAGCCGGAGGTGGCATTTTCTCGGTGCTTTTTTTTTTGAGCCAAATGGCAACTGTTTAAAAAACACATCGTCCATTTACAAAATGAGGTCCCGTGCTGCAAGCTTCTCCATAGCAAATTGTCCAGATCTTGCTACAAAATGAGGTTCCATGTTCCATTGTAGTCCATGTTTTTTTGCTACAAAATGGGTGCCAAGGTTCCAGAAGCACCCTCTTTGGCTACAAAATGAGCCTTACAAAATGGTACGGGCAAGCCGAAAAAATATTTTACTACAATTTTTTTTTCATATTGGGCTTGACCCCTCCCATTTCATAGTGGAAATGGCAACGGGGATTCAAATCCCAATGTGCCCCTACCCAACCTGATGGAACACAGGTCGTTTCGGACACAGGTGCATGCGCATCATACACTTGAAGATTTCGCAATGCTTTGATCATGATTGAAACATGCTTAAATGTTGGTCCTTTCTTTGACCATTGACATTGACCATGAAAGCGGTGTGGGTGTTCATCAGCCACTGTGCATGTAGCGCGTTGCACGGTTGCCTGCCTCGTTGGACCAAAGGCTCAAGCCCAAAGGGCCCGATAGACCTGAACCTGAGGAACGAATGGTCGTTTGGGTGTGTGTTTGGACCGAAAAAGATTCGCCGAAGCGAAAAACGGTCACTCCCAAGTAGCCATCAGCATCTGCAACACAGAAACTCACGTGGTGACAACGTGTCAATGGGCTGTAATACTAGGGACGCTTAGCAGGTAGGGCAAGTTTGGCCAACAGTCCGCGTGCACCCGTGAAAGAACGTAGAGCTGCCAACACAGGATACGGGCGTGACCAAACAATGGAAACGTTGCATCTGCTCTCGTTTGGCCCTTAAGCATCCTTAAGCTATGAACAATCGACTGACAGCTTTGAGCACTGCACCCAAAACTCTGCAACCAAAGGTTATTGGGTTTATTGCTATGTGGAGTTTCATTGTTTTGAGAATCAACTTTTTTGTAGTTGGACAGATAAAGAAATGGATGTCTATTTCATTGGCTAAGTCTTTAGCCTCTCAACAATGGCATCTTCCTCTCCGTCCACTTCAAACTGAACAGACACCCGTGAGACTATGCTGTATTGGGCTGGAAACCAGTGGGGCCAACAAAAGATAGGACACACTTTACGCTTGAGATAATGAGTGTGGGACTCGGGACGTTCATTCCAACTATATAATATCATGAAACAATAGTGGCTTTAGCCACGGGTACAGGCAAAACAAAGCGCTCTTAAATAGTAGCACTTGACTCCAAATCCTCAGGAATGGAATTATGCTGATACACTCCAAGTCACTAACATGTAAGTTGGACAAGCCCCGCTCGTAAGGAAAGTAGCCTTTCAAGGGGCCATTTTCCCTTCCATGCTAGTGAGTCAGAGTGTTCGTTGGTCTGGCTTCTTGTTACTAGTAGCGATGCCAGGAGCTACTAGTAGTGTCCTTGCTACTACTAGCGATGCCCTTTGTTCCTGGTAGCTTCTTGTTCCTAGTAGCGATGGCCTCCACCTAATAAAGTCCTTGCTACTAGTAGCTTCTTGTTCGTAGTTGAGTCAGTGTTGGTCTCGACATGTCTCGACAGTCAACATTCCAGGATCTGTCTCGCCCCACTCCGCCAAGAAACGGTCTGTCTCGAGGCTTGAATTCAACCGCGAGAATGAGGTAGAAGCCTGGCAGCTGACAGTCATTTTCAGCAACAAATCGGGTTTTATCGCCTCTCTCAAAATGGCACAGCGAAGAGCTTGTGTGAGAATGCAAACAAATGAATCTGTGAATCTGCTTGGGAGCCATCTTTCACCAAACATCTCTACCTGGCCTCACTCCCAGCGCCAACATCACTGTGACTGTGCACGGCATCTGCTGCAGGCTCAGTCACCCAAAATGTATCTCTCAACAATGCGGCTCGTTTCCTTAGTCAGTGCGAGTGGCTGATGAGAAAGGAAGCAGCCAAGAGCTGGTTGAGTTGCACTGGGAGAGCGGAAGGGAGACACGTGGCGCGAATCCAATGACAATGAAACAGCAGATTTCAAATTGTCTGTGGTGTGCCCTAGCAAACACGCATCCAAAACCATGCAGAAAGAGTCAAAAACAGCCAGTCCAACTATCTGAACAGGATTGAATGATATCTGACTGTCCCAGACATCTTGAAGAGGTGTTTTTGATGCTTTGCCAAGGTGAACCATTCTGTACAAGCTTGAGAGAACGGTCCTTTTGAAAGAATCCCAAAAAAACATGCAGCTGCCCCAAAGGTTGAGGCATTCCAAGCAACAAATTAGGATGCTCTCAAATCAAAAGTAGGTTGTCTACATGATCGCCGACACCGACACCGCCGACACCCCTCGAGTGTTGCTGTTCCAAGTGTCGCGTCCATTTCGAGTGATGGCCTGGTGTAGCGGAGAACCAATGGAACAGACTTGGAGCTTGCCAGCTAGAAAGGAAACAGAATGTCAATGTGCATAGAACAATCATGAATAATTAATATGTCTCATGTACAGGAAAGCACCTACACAGCGAGTTCATGCGGTTTCCTTCTATATCATAACTTCTCAATCAGATCTCAACTTTTGCCAAAACTTGTACAAGGCCACCGCGCCTTGCCCCCAGTCCAGGGGGTGTGTTGAAATAGGAGATGTCCTCACCTGTGCAGTGCAATCTCGTGGAGTGATCGTTGATCCTGCAAAAGCCTTCTCTTCAGTAGCTTGATCACTGCTGATGTCAATAAAGGGCCGCTAAGATTGGTCTCAGATTTGTGTTTCTTGCGCATACAAGTACTAAACCCCCCATCCAAAAGCTTCGTGCCCAGGCACTCGCCGCCACGGAGCCAGGCCGACCACGAGCTCCGCGAGCTCCACGCTCCATCAAGCTGCCACAGTCAGGTGGTTCTGATGCTGGACCACCACGAGGCCTGGGCACCAAAACGCCAGCAGGCTGTTTCAGGGCTCGTCCGACCAGCATGGCCAGCATGGCCACTCGCTTTACTGAGGACCCCAACAAGAACACCTCAGGAAAACAAGATGGAGCCCACGAATCCGAATGCAAGCACGATTGAAAAACTATATATATGTCCAAATGACACTCTTGTAAGACACTCTTGTGGGACACTCTTGTGGGACACTCTTGTAAGAAGATCTTGCGGCGCACTCTTTTCGGACACTCTTGATACAATCAATCATCCCGCTCACCAGCGATGTTTCGCGCTCCCCTGTGGCACGGCGCCATGCAAACACACTTCCCACCAAGGCCGTGCAATTCCCAATGGCACTGCAACATCACGAACGTAATTTCGCCACACGGTCTGCCC